GATCCAATTGTCATGCGTCCCCTACAATTTGCACATATGTGAGTGTCGCTTCTCAGATGAAGCACAATTTTCATGCCGCACACAAAAGTGAGAAATTTTTTGAGCACACATCCCTTACATCCACACAAAAGTAGTTATTTGCTTCAAGTAGATCCATTGATTCCATGTACGCTATTGCTAGCCATGGATGGCAGGGGGTTCATCACATGGTCATTGATGCTGGTGGAGTACGTAGGATTGTTAGTGCTAGCCATGCTCAACAACCAAATCAGAATTGACCATGCTATAGCTACTTACTTAACTTCCTAATCGGTGCCTCTCACCTATACTAGCTAATTCTGGCACACGCGCGCGCTCTCACTCCGGAGTAAAAATGGACGCCAGCCAACCACCTCCACCAGTCCAATTCACTCTCATCGATGCTGGTGGAGTACGTAGGTTGCAGGTGTGTGTCTACTCTTTTCTAGGACGTTTCACGCTTCAGGAAACGGGCACACATGCATGATTCCATGTGCCGCTGTGCCCGCTCTTTCATGCGTGGTTCCTTTTTTGCCCTTCTTTTACTTTCTTTCTTTGCACTTGGCTACTTACATTCTGTGGTGTCATTTCATTATGAGCAGTGATATACGGACGGTAGGTTTTGAGCCGATTCTTGAACGATGGATCAAGTCATCCATTAGATTGCATCATTTTGCAAATCACCAGCGTACAAGATGAGCATCGTCCAGATTTCATCCATGCACTGTCGTGTGCAGAGCAATTTCTTTTCATTATTTGCCTTTTGGTTCCACATGCAGATCCGACTTCTCTATCGCAGCTTTTGTCAAATTGTTAGTATAGAGATACCCACATGTCTTGCAAACCCTAAGAAAGGGGGTAGTTTGCATGATAAATGTTATGTCTAGCTAGCCTTCGCTGGATGTGGCGGCGCCCCTGCCGTAACGATGACTCCATGAGTGTGGTTACAATGGATGGCGCTCTCCGGAGGTTGCGCTGCACTATGCCAGTGCGAGGCTTGCCACTTTCTCATGCGAAGCGCTTCAACAAAATCGGAGCTGCCTGTCCTCGATGTCGGCAGTCGATTATTTGGCTTTGGCCTTTGAGGTCCTTGTGTGTCGTTTGTTCGGCAAGTTCTTGACGGGTCGTCCATGGTGAAGTCGGAATCGCCTTCTCGGTGAGAGGTGACGACAAAGACATTGCGGGTAACCTCGATGGTGTGTGGGGTCTTGTGGGTGTCAGATCGGCTGTGTGCCCTTTTGAAGGTGTGTTGTAACGTTTTTCGCCCTGGTTTCCGTTAATTATCCGGGCAACTCTCTTCTATTTTTTAATGAATGGGACCCTAAGGGACCGTGTTTCAGAATCAAAAAAGACAAACACAGTACAAGTTATTTATCATAAAAAATATATAATTCAAATATAAAAACTAGCAAGATAACCCAAGCATTCGCACAACACGGTTTCTGTTTTTATATTTACTGTCATGTTTACTCGAATTTCAAACGACATGAATTTATACATTCAGAAAACACCACTATTTAGTATTTTTGAAATAATCACTACAGGAAAAGCACATTTTGCCTTATGTTTCTCTGTTCGCCGAGCATTTTATATCGGCCACCCAGCATATGACCGTACAATTTGTGCTTTGGCGTACCGCCACTTACGTCGTGACACGGCCCAAAAAACATGCGTCGTAGATTGGTCAAAGCCGAGTATGATCGTAGCCCGCATGGCATACAACAACGCCACGTGGTCGTGCTCGCCGAAGGTCATGGAGCCGTGATGGGTTCGTACGTAAGCCGTGTGCCGTCGCCAAATGTCGTGTGCCTTCAACAACACCCACACACGACGTAGTTGCGGTGGTCAGCCTTTCACTGTAGGCGGCTGGCGGTTGTTCACATGTAACTCCGGCGTCGTGGCCATCTGGATTCCGATGTGGCCGTGTGGATTCAGCTACCGCCATTAACGGAGGCATAAAACCGAAACCTTCCTCGCCAGCATCCCTCCCTCACCTACAAATACATTCCCTCACCGCAGGCGGGACTCCCCTCCCTCCTCCTTGATAGATTTGCCGCCGCCTGCCCCCGAGCTCGACGCCGGCCACACCTCAACCACAAAACTCGACGCCCGTGACCAAGACAAACCACACCGGTCGAGTTGAAAGATCTTCCATTTATCATTTTTCCTACTAATTAAGTTTTGTCATATGTTAGTTTAGGTTTGCTTGATAGGTAGATTGGTTTAATAATCTTCACAATGATTTCACTACAAATAATCTTCACAATGATTTCTAGTTTAGGTTTGCTTGATAGCTAGATATTAGATAGGTTTAATTTGATGTAGATAGATGCTAGAGTTTACAATATTGATAAAAACTTGTTATGGATAGGAATTGTATTTTTTTAGTACTAAATAAGTTTTTTCATATGTTAGCATGAATTGATTTTTTTTCTTCATATGCATATGCATACATTCTAGAATTCGTATATGTCGATAAAAGTGATTAATTATAATGGGGGATACATATATGTGAATCATGTTTGTAATTAATTAAAAACATGCTAAAATGTGTTTTTAATTTAGTTGTATATATGTTTACAGATGGACGGCAGTAAGGCATGAGACGGGCTCATCGAAGCGTTATTAGCATTTGGCACGTTGTTCTGTTGGCCAAAATGAAGGAGATCGCTTCCTAGTATGACAGCAACAGGGCCATGGTTTTGTAGGCCAAAATCGTGCTCGGGGTACCACGAAGTACAAGCGAGAGACCGGATGAAGGCCGCCTATGGTGGTGATACTAAAGTCAGTGTGATGGAGATCCAACACAAATCTTTGACGTGTCACTTCAGAAACGGGGCAGTTGGGCGTGAAGGTTCATCAGTTAGATAGAGTGCGACACCACCAGTTGTAGGTGACAATAGTGAATCTAGTGAAGACATGGGCTCAACCTTGGTTTGAGAGGTCACTATGAGCAACACAAACACACACACCAAGAGGAAACCATCATGATCAACCCCCTCACGAGTTTGGTCAAATGCGTAGACGGAGCGGGCCCCACAGATCGACACATCGTTGAATATGAAACGAGGGAGGGTCGGAACACCTCCCCCACCTGCATGTGTCACTATATACGTATAAAAGGGTGGTGTGAGGTTTAAATATCCAACACAAATCTTTGATGGGGTAGTTGCTTCACAAACGAGACAGTTGGGCGCGAAGGTTCCTCAGTTAGCTAGAGTGCGACACCACCAGTTGCAGGCAACGGGAGAGAATCTAGTGAAGGAATGGGCTCAACCTTGGTTTAATTGACGGGTCACTATGATCAACCCAAACACACACCAAGATGGAACCACCATGGTCAACTCCCTCTCGAGTTCGGTCAAAAGCGTAGAATGTGTGGGCCCCGCGGATCGGGCATCATCGTAAAGGAAACGAGGGACGATCGGAATACCTGAAAGTTATGCACATTAGGTAGTAGCAATGAGGAAGTACTTTGCCTCTTGATTGTCTTGAAGACAAGTCCAAAAACTTGTTGAGTTACCATTGTTGCCATCTATGAGTAGACAATTTAGTACAAGTGAACATGTAAAGAAACATGGCAGCAAGATCAACATGAATATACTATGAAAGCGCACACCATTATATTTGTTTCGTATGTAATCTTGTGAGCACATTAGAGCCTATAACATGTCTGGAGTAAGACTACAACGATGATCACTTAGAACTCTAGCGCTTGTACTAAATGTTGATTCTGAAGCAACATTGCCGACTGGAATTGCAAATATGTCAAGGACTAGCATCCGCAAAGTAGGATAGCGTGTTTCAGCCACTTTCGACCAATCTAACACATTAAATTTTTCTTGTGAAACTGTAACTAGCTCATCTTCCAAGTACCGGACTCGTATTTCATCCTAGAAGCTGTTGGCCTTTTTTGAACAACCCACTTATTGAAAGTGACATAAGGGATGTGGCTTGAATAGAATAAAAAGGGAAGAAGGGGTTGATTCATCGTCATCTTCTCAAGATTGTATTCCTCTAACAATTTGCATAACTTGGCAACTAAATCTGCCACATACACCTCACAATCTGCAGATCCATGCAACATTGCAAACCAAACAAGCAACATCTCATTGCAAACCAAACAAGGCAGGTATTGGGTATGGGTAACGTCATATAGTCCTAACCCCCCACCGAAACAAGCGCTAATCTTCTCGGGCCACTGCTCCGGTAGTTTTATCGGCCCTCTGAGATTCAATGGGGCCTACTGGGCCAGTATTAGGCTCCCGTGCAACGCAAAATCGGAAAACTCTAAAACAAACTTGAAGCTCGCGACCTTGGTTTCCTTCGGTCACAGCCTCGCCTGGCGGCGCCTCTCCATGGTTGTCCGACCTGGATGCCAACCGATGTGGGGCTTGGACTGCAGTGGCGACTGGCTAGGTTTGCACCAACACGAGGGACATCGCCTGCTCGGTCCGTTTGGTTGCACGGACGCAACGGACAGAGCCTTGTGGATATTACAACTCGTATATCCGTGTCCCGTTATAGATTAATTACCTACAGGGCACGGGTAACGGTTAACCATTATGAGCTTGACCCAGAGCCATCACTATCATCAGGTCGCTCCAATGGATGATCCATTGGGTTGTTTGATTAGTGTACTTTTTTTTAATATAATTTGGACTCTGTGAGAGTCGATTTTCTAGACCTTTTCCTCTCTTATTCACGATGCATGGGCACCTTTTACTACTCTGTTTTTTTTCACACGTACGCCTGACAGAGGCACAGAGCGAGGTTTCATTGTTGACCATGAATGACCCCCCAAAGGCCGCAGGCCACACAAGTCACAACGAGTCACCAACGAGGCAACGACCACTCCGCTCCACATTCAAAATGGCTTTCGATGCAGATACACTATAAGAGTTTGGCGCATGTTTAAAGATTGGCTGGGTCTCCATAATGTGCATTCTAGTGATTGGAGTGACGCGACTTCTGTTAAAGAGTGGTGGAGCCACAATGCTACCAAGAAGACACAATCACGAAAACCACTTGCTTCCTTGATGCTTCTTATCTCTTGGGAGTTGTGGAATGAGAGGAATGCGCGGATCTTTTGTAATACTGTTGTCCCCGTTGGAGTTATTGTTGCTAGGATTAAAGAGGAAGCGTCACTTTGGAGCATGGCGGGGACGAGGCACTTGAGTAACATAATGCCGCAAGAGTGATTGTTGTAATTCGGCCATGGGCCTTAACCTCTTAAACTTCTCTCTTAATCAATGAAAATGGCAAATCTTTTGTCGCGTTTAAAAAAAAGGCTTTCGAAGCGGAGGTCTCCAGGCTGGCTGCTCGTAGCAGCCAGCTCGCCGGCGCGGGTGAGGATGGCGGTGGGGGCACTGGCACGTGTTAGACTGTATTTACATGTGTATATTGTAACGTTGTATACCACCTCATTATATATATATGTGATAGGCAACCCCTAGAGGGTTGTGCCGGTTCCCCCCAAAGCCTATTGTCTTACATGGTATCACGCTAGGTTACGTCCGCTTCCGCCTAAAAACCCTAAACCGCCGCCGCCGCCGCCGCTGCCACCGCCGCCGCCGCCGCCGCCGCGCCCGCCGTCGCCGTCCCCGACTGCTATGACGTCCGCCGCTGCGTCCGGCTCCACCGCCACCGGTTTTCTGCCGGCCTCCCTCACGGCACTTCTCTCGAGGCCGCTGGATGCCGCCTCCCTTCAGGCGCCGATCGGGACACGGAGCGTCGGCTCCCTCTTCGCGCTCCCGCCGGCTGCTACTTCGCCCGGGCAGGCGCTTGTGGCCCACACCGCCGCCGCCCCGTCAACCGCGGCTGTCGCGCCCTCGGCCACTGCGCCGCTGGTGGCGGAGGACGTCGCGCTGGCAGGCTTCGCGGCGCCAACCGCGGCCATCGCGCCCTCTGTCACCGCGCCGACTGCCCCTCTGACTGTCTCCACGGTGGTCTCACCTCAGCCAGTCTCCTCGATGGGATCGCAGCCGCCGCCGCCGTTTCACATCGGCCATCTCATCACCATCAAGTTGTCGTCGGACAATTACATCTTCTGGCGCGCGCAAGTTCTTCCGCTTCTTGGGAGTCACTATCTGCTTGGCTATGTCGACGGCTCTCTCCCTTGCCCTCCTGCGCTGGTTGACAGCGTGCACGGTCCGGTCTATAATCCGGCTCACTGTGTCTGGACAGGGCAGGATCAGGCGAACCTCTCCTCCATCCAGGGGTCGCTCTCTCCGGCCGTTGCTGGGCTTGTTGTCTTCGCCAAGACGTCCCACGAGGCATGGACTATTCTTGAGCGCTCGTTTGCGGCACAGTCGCAGGCTCGTGTATCTGGGCTCCGTCGCCAACTTGGGGAGTGTCAGAAGCTTGACTCCACCGCCACTGAGTTCTACAACAAAGTCAAGAGTCTCGCCGACACGCTGGCCTCCATTGGACAGCCCCTCACCGACTCCGAGTTCAACTCGTTTATTGTCAATGGTCTTGATGAGGAGTATGACGCCCTAGTCGAGATCATCAATGAGAGGGGCAACTCCACGCCCATGCCAGCACACGAGGTCTTTTCACGCCTCCTGCTTACTGAGCAACGAGTCGAGACGTGCCGATCCAGGGGCAACGGCGCCCTCTCGGCAAACGCCGCCACCAAGGGTGGTCGCTCCTCTGCTTCATCCAGGGCTCCTTCGGGGCAGTCACCACCACCCGCCTCGGCCCCTCCTCCTACTGCGACGCTACCAGGGGCTGGCGGTCCACGTGTGTGCCAGCTTTGTGGTCGCGATGGGCACTGGGCCTCGAAGTGTCACAAGCGCTTCCAGCGGGGTTTTCTTGGTCTCGGCAATGACGGGAAGGATACACGCAACTTTGCTCGTCAGGTCGCCATGGCTGATCGTCCGCCGCCGCAGAAGCCACAGGGACACACTCAGTCCTACTCCATTGATCCCCACTGGTACATGGACTCTGGGGCGACAGAGCACCTGACCAGTGAGATGGGGAAGCTTCACACTCGTGAACCCTACCATGGCTCCGACAAGATCCACACCGCCAATGGAGCAGGTATGCACATCTCTCATATTGGTCAAGCATCACTTCTCACTAGACATGCCAATAGGAGTCTTCAACTTCGCAATGTTCTTCGAGTTCCATCTGTGACACGTAATCTTCTTTCAGTTCCTAAACTCACTCGTGATAATAATGTGCTTTGTGAATTTCATCTTTTTGATCTTTTTATTAAGGATCGGGGCACGAGGGACATTCTTCTTAGTGGGCGGCTCTGCCAAGGTCTCTATCGTCTGGAGCATCCTGGCGTCGCTCGCGTCTTCAGTGGAGTTCGGGTATCTCCGTCACAGTGGCATGCTCGTCTTGGTCACCCGGCCACACCTATTGTCCGGCATGTTTTGCGTCGTCATGAGCTTCCTAGTGTGTCTAGTAATAAAGATGTAGCAGTGTGTGATGCTTGTCAGCAGGGGAAGAGTCATCAACTTCCTTTTTTGGAGTCCAGTCGTGAGGTGAAACATCCTTTAGAACTTGTGTTTTCAGACGTATGGGGTCCTGCTCAGACTTCTGTTAGTGGTCATAATTACTATATCAGTTTTGTTGATGCTTATAGCCGCTTTACCTGGCTTTATCTTATCAAACGTAAATCTGATGTGTTTGACATTTTTGTTCAGTTCCAAAAACATGTTGAACGCCTTCTCAAGCACAAAATTGTTCATGTTCAGTCGGACTGGGGTGGCGAGTATCGCAACCTCAACTCCTTCTTTCAGTCGCTTGGGATCACTCACCGTTTAGCATGTCCACATACACATCAGCAGAATGGTTCAGTAGAACGTAAGCATCGTCACATTGTTGAAGCTGGTCTGACTCTTTTGGCCCATGCATCTGTTCCGTTTCGTTTTTGGAGTGATGCTTTCACCACTGCATGTTTTCTCATCAATCGTACTCCCACTCGTGTTTTGAATATGAAGAATCCCATTGAAGTTCTCCTTAATGAACAACCGGACTACACCTTTCTCAAGGTGTCTGGGTGTGCTTGCTGGCCCCATCTCCGTCCATATAACAAGCGTAAGCTCGAGTTTCGTTCCAAGAAGTGTGTTTTTCTTGGTTATAGCTCTCTTCATAAAGGATACAAATGTCTTCATGTGCCCACTAATCGTGTCTACATCTCTCGGGATGTTGTGTTTGATGAGCATGATTTTCCCTTTGCCAAACTCCCTGTGTCCACTACCGAGCCACCTGTCATGCATTCATCCTCTGTTGCTTCTGACCAATTTGATGATGTTGCATATTCTCCTCTATTGTTGCCTAACCATGGTGCAGGCACTGGTCGTGGGGCTCGTTTGGAGATTCTGGAAGTGCCATCTTCCTCCTCGTCGCCATCGCCTTCATCCTCGGCACCTTGTGTTGTGCATGAGGAGCACATGGCGCCCCTGCATGGCCTCGGTTTCCGTGCTCATGCACGGCCGATCGACGTCCTGGCCCGGTCGCCTCTGGCTTCTGGGCTGCCTTTGCCATCGTCGCGCCCTGCAACACCGCCGACTGGGCCGGCCTCCTCGGTCCCCGTCTCGCCCAGGGCGTCGGGGCAGTCATCACCAGGCCTGGCCTCGCCCGCCCCTGCCTCGCCCAGGGTGTCTGGGCCCTTCTCACCAGGGCCGGCCTCGCCTGCTCTCGACTCGCCAAGGCCGTCTGGGCCGGTGTCACCGGAGCTGGCCTCGCCCACTCTCGGTTCGCCCATGGCCTCTGAGCCCCTGTCGTCGGGCCAGTCTTCGCCATGCAGCCCGGAGTCGTCTGTCCCGAGCTCGCCTGAGGTGATTCCTGCATCTCCGGCGACCGTCACGTCTCCGTCACCTTCACCTCCGTCGGCTCCTGCTGCTGCTCTACGTCCACATACGCGCAGTCGGAGTGGCATTTTTCAGCCTAAGCAACATCACGATGGCACAGTTGCTTGGTTAGCGGCGTGCATGTCTGCTGCTCTCGCAGATCCATCCTCTGAGCCACGCACGTATCAAGCTGCTATGCACATTCCTCATTGGAGAGAGGCCATGGAGCAGGAGTATCAAGCGCTTCTTCGCAATCAGACATGGACTCTTGTTCCTCCACAATCACGGGTAAATGTCATTGATTCCAAATGGGTTTTCAAAGTGAAGAGGCATTCTGATGGGTCCATTGAGCGCTATAAGGCTCGTCTGGTTGCTCGTGGTTTTCGACAGCGTTTTGGACTTGACTATGAAGACACCTTCAGTCCAGTGGTCAAGCCTACTACCATCAGACTTCTTCTCTCTCTGGCTGTTACTCGAGGTTGGTTTCTTCGTCAGCTTGATGTTCAAAATGCTTTTCTTCATGGTGTCTTGGCGGAGGAGGTTTACATGCGCCAGCCTCCGGGTTTCTCTGATCCGGATCGCCCTGATCATCTCTGTCGTCTGTCCAAGGCAATTTATGGTCTGAAGCAGGCTCCTCGTGCTTGGCATGCTCGTCTTGCAATGGCTCTTCGTGCTCATGGTTTTGCATCATCAACTGCTGACTCCTCATTGTTTCTTCTTCAAAGGCCTGAGGTTACTATGTACTTGTTGGTCTATGTAGATGATATCATTTTGGTCAGCTCCTCTCAGTTGGCTGCTACTGCGCTTGTTCGCTCACTTGGTGCTGATTTTGCGGTCAAGGACCTTGGGAAGCTTCATTACTTTCTTGGTGTGGAGGTTACTTCTCGTGCTGCTGGCCTTGTTATGACGCAGAAGAAGTACTCTCTGGATTTGTTGCAGCGAGCTGGGATGCTTAAGTGCAAACCGACGACTACACCCATGTCTACTACTGATAAGCTCAATGCTGTTGATGGTGTGCTTCTTTCTTCTTCTGATGCGACAGAGTACAGGAGTATTGTTGGTGGGCTCCAGTACTTGACGATCACGCGACCAGACATTTCATATGCTGTTAACCAAGTCTGCCAGTATCTGCAGTCACCCCGTGACACTCATTGGTCTGCTGTTAAGCGGATTTTGCGCTATATTCGTTTCACGGTGGCTCATGGTTTGCATATTCGGCCGTCTGACTCTGGTTGTCTTTCAGCATATTCTGATGCAGACTGGGCTGGCAATCCGGATGACAGGCGATCCACGGGGGGTTATGCTGTCTTCTTTGGCTCTAACCTGATTGCCTGGAGTGCTCGGAAACAGGCTACTGTCTCGCGTAGCAGTACTGAGGCTGAGTATAAGGCTGTGGCCAATGCCACATCAGAGATCATCTGGGTACAGTCCTTGCTTCAGGAGTTAAGTATACCCCAATCACAGCCTCCTGTTCTTTGGTGTGATAACATCGGTGCTACATACCTTTCTGCAAATCCGGTATTTCATGCCCGAACGAAACACATTGAAGTTGACTATCACTTTGTGCGTGAACGTGTCTCTCAGAAGCAACTACAGATCAAGTTTATTTCTTCCAAGGATCAACTTGCTGACATCTTCACCAAGCCATTGCCTTTGCCACAGTTTGAGACTTGCAGGCGCAATCTTACCCTTTTAGATTCATTAGAAAGTGACTAAGATTGAGGGAGGGTGTTAGACTGTATTTACATGTGTATATTGTAACGTTGTATACCACCTCATTATATATATATATGTGATAGGCCACCCCTAGAGGGTTGTGCCGGTTCCCCCCAAAGCCTATTGTCTTACAGCACGCAGCCGCGCCGCCCGGGCTGCCGCAGATGCCATGGTCTACCTCTTCGTTTGCACCATTTGCGTGCTCTCCGCCGCAACATTCCCCTGTGCCGTCGCATTCCGGGCCTGCGGCGGGAACTGCAGCGTGGCCGCCGCGATCTTGTTTTACTCTGGTATGCTCTCGCTGCTACTCAGGGTGCCAGCGATGATGCTTTTCTTCCTGCGCGCCGCCGGTAGCGATGGGTACTCGTCGCCCTTCCCGCCCCGCCCCGCCAAATCGACGTCGCTTATGACGTTGATGACTGTGAAATGTGATAGGTCAAGGATGATGCTGTGGAGGATCGCTTCCGTGGGTGGCCGCTACACCGGACGGCTGTACCGATCTGGAGGTTCTTCGTCGTGGCGATGTCGGTGGAATTCATCGGGCTCGTTCTTCAGACGTGTGGATTTGAGGAGGTTTCTTACCTTCTCCGTGCCGCGGCTCTGTTGTGCAAGCTCCTAGTCATCGTCCTCTTCTGCAACCGTGCTGCTGTGGCGCTGTGGAGGATGAATCCTCGACAGCCGGCTGCAGTTGCTGCTGTTGTGTACTGGGTGTGTGCGGAGTAGTAATCTATCTAGTGTAGTTGCTTCACCTTCAGTGCTTCTTAGTTCAGTGCTGCCTATATGAGTTGACGTATGCTCTTATGAGTTGCATAATATGGAATCAGGTCCCTCAGTTCACTGCCTATATGACTTGACGCACGCTCTGATGAAGAGCTTCCATTCTATGTAATCACTGCCCTCCTTGCTTAATTAATCCGGTGGGTTAATTGCTGGCCGTGGAATCTGTCTAGGCGCCGGGTCGCAGCTGGGATGGAGCAGCGCTGAAGGGCGTGTGAGGAAAGATAGATGGCTACGTGATGCGTGCACGTCCTGGACGGTGTGCTTCTTTCACGCTTCCGGAAGAGCAATGCTACACATACGTAGACATTGTTGGCGCCGAGCCCTAGCTTGCTCTTTGCGCCGGTGCCCAGCTCCCTCTCGCTCTCTCTCTCTCGCACGAACGAAGGTAGAAGGAAGAAGAGACACATGACATGGTGGTGTTTTTCCGGCGCACATATGCCTGCCGCACGAACGGCTTCTTTCTCGAGCACGAACTCGAACCCACACACCACTCCATGGCGAGCACACATACACTCCGAAAGACCACATCTTTCTCTCGCTCAACACATACCGCAGCACTTCGATCAGTACATGGGAGGGCTTTTTATACGGAAAAAAATTCTATGAGACCAGGTCTCACGGATTAGCAGGTGAGACCCATTCTGATGGATGACACGTGGCATTCACAAATCACAAAGCATGCATCCACCCCACCCCCCACCTGAAATCAGGGGGGGAGAGA